GGCACACCGGTCCGCTGTCTCACGGGTTTGGGTCATGCGGGTTGGGGTGTTACATTTTGGTATCGGAGCATTTGGTTTTAAAATCGGTCTTTGGACCCTTTCAAAAAAAAAAATACAATGAATAATTCAGCCGCATCTGCATCTCACGTAACTCCTCTGCCCCGGGAAGGTAATAAGTATTTATAGCTTTATCTGTTATATGTTAAGATCTGACTTGGGAATTTCCATATTATTTTAGAATGAGTCAAGAATCGACCCACGGTCAGTACGTTCCAGAGCCAGAGCACGTGAGCGTGCACACGGTGAACACCGAGGGTTCGAGTTTCACGCCTCCGGGTGACGGAGGGCAACAGCAGAATCAACCTGCGCCAGCGGGACAGCCACCAGCTGTACCACCGCCAGTCGTACCACCTCCAGTGATGTCACCGTTGGTGATGCCGCAGGTGGCCTACGAGCAGATGTTCCCGGCCATGATGGCCCATTATATGCAGCACATGGCGCAGCTTATGCCCATGTTCCAGCCACCGCCACCACCACAGCCGCAGCCGCGCATCATTACCTTCAAGACATTGAAGGATAACGGAGCGGAAGAGTTCCGAGGAGACAATATGGGGGAGCCCCAGATTGCATTGGATTGGCTTGAGCAGATGGACCGGGTACTCAAGATTTTGAGAGTCCCAGATGCTGATCGCTCGGAGTTGGCGTCACAGATGTTCCGGAAGGGAGCATATGATTGGTGGAAGCGCATTGACCAGGATCCACACACGCCCAAGCCATGGACCTGGGATCGCTTTGATAGAGCCTTCACGAAGGAGTACGTCCCCACCCGGTACCGCGAGGAGAGGCGCGATGAGTTCGTTGCGCTTAAGCAGGAGGGGATGTCACTGCCTGAACTGAGACAGAGGTTCGACTACTTGTCCCAGTACGCGACGAGTCTGGTCTCCACTCCGGAGGATCGTTTGAATGAGTTCGTCAAGAAGCTACGGCCGGACTTGAGGCCTTACGCCGCACTGATCACGACGACAGATTTTAATGCGGCGTACGATTTGATTGTGAAGACGGAAAAGAGCTTGGATGATTTGCAGGCAACCAAGAAGGAGGATCGAGCGACGAAAGACCCGCGACCCGCGGCCAGCACCGGGCCGAGCGGGAAGAGTTTTGGATTCGGGGGAAAGAGGTACGAGAAGGGTTCTTCGAGTGTGACGGAGCTAAAATATAGCGGTAAGTCAATAAAATTATCCGAGACTAACTCGGATAATTTTCTGGAACGCCACCGCTATGAGGGGAAGCTTCTGGAACGGCGAAGATTCGGGAACGTCGACAGGCGGTCAAGCAGGCGGCCGCCTGCTTGACCGCCGGAGCCAACTCTGACTGCCTGCGCTTGAGTTCACCGCCAGAGCCAACTCTCGTCGTTTGCCAATGTTCGGCAGGCGGACTGGTAGGCGGCCGCCTGCCTGGTTGCCTGTTGTGCATTCGGCTCCAAAACTCATGCTTTGCTTCAAAATTTATTCTGAACACCTTCCTTTCTTGCTCCAACTTCCAATTCCATTCCAGTAGAAAAATATTACTAATTTCTTGTTGAAATGAAACATTTTTATTTTTCTTGGCTCATTCAAATTTACTACTCAAAAATATAGATATATGACTTTTAATAGAAAAATTACTTCTTATTAAGAAGAAAACTTATAAAAAATATGTTAAATGTGAGGATAAAATTATATATAAAACGACTTTATCAGAGTGCGCCACCGCCTAAGAGGAGTAAGTCGAGGTCGTCTCCGTCGGCTGCCGCTAGCAACTCGAACAGAACGAGGAGCCACCCGCAATGTGTACAGTGTGGTAGGCATCACCCGGGCGAGTGTTGGCTCGCCCAAGGCTTATGTTTGGGTTGTGGTCAGCCAGGGCATTTCAGGAGGCATTGCCCGACAAACCCTAGCAGCGAGCCTGTTTTACCTAGAGCTCCGGATCAGCCTGCCGCATCACATC